TTGGGGCTAAAGAGATGGCTCAGCAGTTAAAAGTATTAGCTGTTTGCTCAGAGGATCCAAGTTCCATTCTCAGCACCCACATGGTGGCTAACAACTGTCCTTAGCTATAGTTCCAGGGGATCTGATGCTCTCTTCTGGTCTTCAGTGGCACTGCACGACACAGGTGCACATAGTACGTATAGGCAAAACACTCACACACATAAAATAAAATAGCTTTCTTAAGTTGAAAAAAACCTCTTAACAAAAAGGAGATAATTGAATAGGCTTTCCATCATTTACTATATTATATAGTCCTCCCTGTTAGTAATGTGCATCCCTGATTTGGTAACTCAGTGGTGTTCCTGTGTCCTCTTGAAAACAGAAATTGTGCCTGGCAGTGTCCCTGGCAGTTTGCTAAAATGTCCTAGAGCCTCAGTGTAGGTTGTAGGATCTATCTGTCTGTTCCCAACTGCTGTGGGTGAGTAATGCATGGCTGTGTTTTAGAGTTTATCGCTCCTTTTTATAAAGCCCAGATTGGTTGAATGATTGCATGCTATTCATTCATATTTACTTGAAGAGATGGTATTTAATTATCATCTTTAGAAAGTCATAACCTTTTTGAGAAATTTGGATTTAATATAGGCAGATAGAACTTTTGTAGCTGCAAAATGGTCTTGAAAGTGTTTTTCATCCAAATAAAATTGTGGGTATTTGAAAACTGCCCTCATATATTACTATGTTATATTTACCTTGAGAACTTCAGTGTAACTATGTCTCTACTTTTATTGTGAGGATTCTTAGAAGTGTTAATTCACTGAAGTATCTTTATAATTACATGCTCTCATGATTATTTGAAAGCAACATGTCAGAATTCTGTTCCTTTAACTTGACTATGGCAAAATTTAGTAAACATAGCCATTTCCTTTCAGGAATGAGTTGTGACCCTGAAGTTAATTAGATGCAATGGGAAAGCCAATGGTGAAGCTTTGGGGAGAGGTAGGAGAAGAGATGCTTCCTTCACTGGATACTATGACACTGCTGCTGTGTCCTCCTGTGATGTTGCTGAATGTTCATGACTCATTCTGTGACTACTGCAAAGCAGTCCCTGAATGAGTTTGCCTTGCTACTCTGCTTATGAGAGTGTAGCTGCTCTTTATCTGCATTGAACACCCTGTTGCTGAACTCTGTTCTCTGATGAAAATCTTTCCAATGTTCATCAGTGCAGCTGTGATTACCTACAAGAGTCTTTCAAGATCAGGCCTGTTGACCTTCAGAGAAGATGGGGAGGGTCATGAGACTCTTGCCCAGAGATCCAGTTACTCCTGTCCACAACTCTGCCAGCTGTAGAAAATTCTGTCCTAGCCCCATAAAGTCTCAGGAGGTTAATTGAAGGAGCGACTCCATTCAGTGCAGCTCTGGGGAGCAAGATAGGTACAAAACTGAGTTAAGGGACCTGAAAGGACTGGTTATATGTGGGAGTTGGGGAAAAAAAAGGAGTCTACATGATTGCCATGTTTTTGGTTTGGGTGTCTATGGAAAGGATGGTGACACTTTAGATGTTAAAGGCTATAACTTAGTAACTTCAGTTTTAAACATCCTGAATTTGAGGTGTTGGAACATGCATAATGTGATACTAGGTAGAAGGTAAATGTGAATCAATAGTTGTGGACTATAACACTCAGAAAGTATGTACTTGAAGCCATTGGTGTAGATAGGATTACCTAGGCAGATAGCCCTTGTTGAATAGTAAAGAGAGAATGTGGAACCTCAGAGAGCACCAACATTGACTGGGGAGGAAGTGGTTGAGAAAGCAGAAGTGTGATTACTGACACCAAGAATCATGTCTTTCATCTTACATTCTTTTTCAGAGACGTTCCAAGACCTTTATTGCTATGAAACTTTGATCAGATAGCTTTATGTATTTTAATGTATTTAAAAAGTAGATTCTTTCTGAAATGCTTGTTTTGTCTGATCAACTTACAGTGCTACAGGGTAGCTTCTTGGTTAAAAACTGAATTTAGCCTTTTAACTCTAATGTTTACTGTCTTGCCTTTTACAAGGAGAGCTTCTTTATAATGCTTATAGGAGAGCTGTATTGATGAGGGACAACAGTCCAACATAGGAATTTTTGTCAGTCATCTCCAGTCATAAATATGATAGATGTTTTGTTTTGGAGCATATACAAAGTCTCTATTATTGCCTGTTCTATTTTGCTCTTGATAATTTTATATTCCATTCCATTCTTTTTATTATTTATGTTTTTAATCACTTGGCGTGTGTTAGCCAATAACATCTTTTAAAAATACTTATTTTTTAATTATTTTTATTTTATGTGTATGCATGTATTGCTTGCATGTAGGTAAGTGCACCCATGTCATGCAGTGCCCATGGAGGTCAGAAGAGGCTGTCGGATCCCCTGGGACTGGGGTTATAGACAGTTGTTAGCTGCCATATGTGTGCTAGGATTCGAACCTGGGTCTTCTGCAAGAACAACCAATGTTCTTAACCGCCGAGCCGTCTCTCCAGCCCCTTTATTATTATTTTTATTTTGTGTGTATAAATATGTTACCTGCATGTATGTAAGTGCACCTATGTCATGCCATGCCCATAGAGTTCAGAAGAGGGCATCGGATCCCTTGAAACTGGAGTTACAGATGGTTGTAGCTGCCATGTGGGTGCTGGGATTTGAACCTGGGTCCTCTACAAGAGCAACGAGTGCTCTTAATTGCTGAGCCATCTCTCCAACCCCAATATCTTTTTTGTGTGAGAATAAAAATATTTTAATTAGAATGATCCTGAAACTCAAATTTTTTTCTTTGGAAACAAAATCCTTTAGTAACACAGAAAACTGATCACTTCTGGCCAATCTTCCACTGAATCTGTAAATTCATACCTAGAAGGGTATGTGTTTGTGTAAGAGAGAGAACAAAAATCTTATTAATGCTTCTTTCTAATATATGTAGAAGTATAATTTTGCATTATTACTATTACTAAAATGATCAAAAAGCAATTTGTGTATGTTATTTTCTCTCACCAGCTTTTTCCTTCTTTTCTTTTAAAATTTCAGTTTGAATAGCACCTGTAATTATGGAAGAAAACCAAGCTGTAGGAGCTAGGTAGGACTTCCAGCTATTGATCTGTGTAAACCCTGCTTATACTGTCAGGGGAGAAACAGTCAACTGCTGAGCTGCTTTGTCACTGACATAAGCTGAGAGAGGATTTTTTTTTTTTTTGTCTATACTGTTTATACACTGGTCTATAGACCTGCTGGCTGGTTGAATTTTAAAGAGTGAGGAGATTTAAAGACTTGTCCCCTGAGGGATGCTCCTGCCAGTTGGGAAGCGAGCTGAGGCTGTTTTGCAGAAGTGTGTGCCTGTGTTGTTGCCTGTGGAAGAAGAGGGGTTATCTGTGAAAGACTGAGAAACTAACTGAAAAGCTTCTGCTTTTGAGTGTTTAAATTGATGGGGGGGTCCTATGGCTAATTTATATATATTCACAGATAGATGTGAACTTTCAGTGTTCTTTGTTGCTTTTGAATTATGTGGGCAGTCTTGCAAGAGTCTATCTGTATATTGTTTGTGTCTACTACAAGTAAATATGGTAAATAACTTCATTTTGTGCAGCACATGATAAAGATGCATAACAGTCAAATGAAAGCAACTGTTCTCATTTGTAATAACCTGTTTCTCAATAATTTATTTCAAGTTTAGTGAATCCTTAATTGCATTTAGCAAAATAGCATCAGTAGTAAAAATGGGGTCTGTAACCAAAAATTTAAAGGTACACATTCTTAAGTAAGCCAAGGGACTCTGTTCTAAGGGCAGAAGACTGCGTTTTTACATCATATTTTCTTTCTGCTTCCTTGAATTAAATTCCCTTGAAGCTTTCTAAGGTATTGCTATAGGATTTCTGCAATGTTTTATTTTTAATGAGTACTCAATTTTAGTGTATATATATTTTTAAAAATGAGAAATTGTACTTTAAAATACTCAGCACTATATTTAGATGGGTTTGCATATTCAGATCTTTCTGATTTTATTGGGCATTAGTTTTATCGGTAAAAGGCATTTGTGGAGGTGACTACATTAAGATGTTTGCTCCTTTGCTTCTTAACAGGAATTGTCTTCATAACTTTCTGCTGTTTTGTAAGATCACCTGACTTTAATATTTATAGTATTCTTTCCTCAGTTATAGGTGTAACTTTTGAACCAGAATTAAATTTTGTTTTTGAGATACAACAGCAAACATCTTTAGTTTTGCCAACTATATGACAGTTGCCTGCATTTTATTGCAATTATTAATAAATATTATCTCTAACTTTTTAATTAGATTATTTTCTACATTTAAGTAAGACATTGATTTTAATATTTAGCAGTTTTCAATGACAGGACATAGGTTATAAACTATATTTTCATTAAAAGTTTTATTTCTAGATAAATTTTTTAAGAGGCTTATTTAAGATAAATCTAGTACCACGTGTTGAACATGTAAATTTATTTTTAAAATCTATGCTGAATCCTTCCTTGATTGCTTAAGAAGCAGCCAGTGTTTGTGTATGGGACACAAGGCACTGCTGTGCCCTTCATGGTTCGTTCTCTGCCAGCTTCATTCCCTTTTCTCTTCCCTCATTTTATTTGAAACACCATTTACAGTTTGGAGCCAGAATCTGCTGAAAGTCCCCGTGGCTAGCCTGTGGTACAAGTAGTAGCAGACGCAGCTTACCCATATGGTGCAGTGCTTCTTGTAAAATCCATATGGCCTTGTTGAAGGGAGTCCCAGCGGGGATGTGAAGGGTGTTAATACCCTTCAGGCCAGGCCTTTCCCTCCTGGGCTTCTACGCCATTGTCAGTGCAATCTGCCAAAGCACACACTTAATTCCTTTATAATAATCAATTATTTTAGTCTAAGAACCTATGCTGTTGTCTTAAAAAACTTTTTCTCCCCCTAGAAAAAGTGTCAAAAAGTTTCAACTGCGTCTTTAAAGCATTCTAAAGCATCTTTATTTTGAATTTAATTTGTAGGAAGTGCTGCAGAGCGTTCCCAAGTTCTGTTTCCCCTTTGATGTGGAAAGGTATGGTGTAAGTCAATAATTATGGTAACTTTCTCCCTGCTTAGCATGCATTTCAGAATGATTATATATGCTTTTTAATAAAATGAAATATACTTTTACTTCTCTGTTTCTATGGAAACGTTGGCGACTAGAGGTTCAAAATTAGGTAATGTTCGGAATGAAGAAGTCTTTTAGATTATTCTTTTCCTTTCTCCTTGTGGCCAGTTAGGGGGTCTTATTGCCCAAGCATTGCCCAAGGGGTGTTTTTTTCTCTGTATTCATCAGTGTATAGTGTAAGCGCCAAAACATGTCCTTGATCTTTGATCAGAGCTTTCAGGTTGTCTTTTAAAATTAGATGTATATATCCTCATTTCAATCATTCATCTGAATTAGAAAGACAATCTGTGTGATGTAGACTCTCAGATAGTTTTCTCCTGACTACAGCTTTATAGAAACAGTACATTATTGTGGGAGACTACAGGAGACTTTCACAGCAGTTTCGGAAGTTTTATTGTGCTTGTGTTTAATGAACAAATATTGACTCCACTATCACTGTGCAGTTGGAATTTAGTAGAATATATGAATATAATAACATCACTTACAGTTTCTCATGTGATTTTTAACTCCCTAGTATCAGTGTGGTGTTCTTAAAAGAAAATTTATTTAAGAAGATGTGTTGCCAAGGATTAGTGAGACTGAAATTTTAGTATATTGAAGATGAAGTATTATGATACCAGGCTAGTTGATATCTGTAAATATTGCTCTCACTTAAATTCCTTTATTGCCTCATTTTTGGTGACCCAACTGTTCTTTATCTTTTTTGAAAAATTATAATTTTAAATCCATAGTAAGAAATAAAGGAAGAAAAACTAAAAAGAATATTATAAGTCTTGAGCACTACGGGGCACATTAATCACTGAAGTGTTTGAAGCTTATAAAACTTGAAAAATCTATCTACTTAAATTTTTATTTGTTCAATAACTGACATTTTCTGATAAAATAGCTTGTAGTATTTGAAAATTGGTATTTTGCCTTTTGAAATCCGTATGACTATTTTAAACTAAAATTTATCTCACCAATATTTTATTTGGGGGCAAAGAACCCAAAGTTCTGTTATGGTTATATATTGCTGAGGTTAGAACCAGTATCTGGAAGTATATTGACATATTTTAAACAGAGGCAAGGTTTTTATCTAGTGATATCCAGTGATTTCTATCATCCCTAGACTGAAATGGGACACCTCATTTGGTTCTATCATATTTATTTCAAAACTAGGTAAAATTCTTTACAGATCAGCAAGTAGGCTTCTTTGGTAGAAAGTGTATTATTTGAGTTGGCATTTTATTCTGCAGTGTATTGATAGTTCTGAAAGAGAATGCTAAGAAAAATAGCAATAGTGCTCAGTGTGTACAGTACTGGGTGAGAAAGTCAATGGAAGAGGCAATTCACCATAGTTGATGGCAGCTCCCTGTAGACTATGAAGCAACATGATTTACAACCCAAGCAGGTAAAAATTGGGAAAAGTAGAATACTTAAGACAAAAGAGGCAAAGGTGAGCATTAAGCCTGAATGTTTAGAATTTTCTGCAGAGTGCATAACCATGGCTCAAGATATAAAGTCTTGATGAATAAAAAGTTGTGGTGAATAAAAATATCCAGATGTAGCCTATAAAGATAGGATTCTTCACTATTATAAAACAGATATTGGTAATCGTAGATTCAGTAGAAATGATTAAAACAAAGGAATAACATTTAATTTATGAATTATCATATTATAAAAAATCCTTGATGTAAGTATCAGTAAATTTGAGTTCTGTGAAAATATATAAAACAGATATTGGTAATCATAGATTCAGTAGAAATGATTATAACAAAGGAATAACATTTAATTTATGAATTATATTATAAAAAATCTTGCTATAAGTATCAGTAATTTTAGTCTTGTGAAAATTTAGGGCAAACTTCCTTATGATTTCCTAGTGAGGGCTGTAGTTGAAGTGCTCAGTCTGTAAAGTGTCACAGCTTATTTTGATGTTTGGCTCATGATTGTCTTCAGTTTTCATACTCTGCCTAGTTATAAAGCATAGTCCTAGGTTTAAGAATCAAGTGTTGGAAAGGTAAAGCCAGTGCCAAATATTAATACATTTTTCTTTTTTTCAAGGAAATTTTCTAATGTTTCATAATGTTACTATATTTTAGGGTATCTCAAAATCAAGTTGGACAGCACTTTACCTTTGTACTGACAGACATTGAAAGTAAACAGAGATTTGGGTTCTGCAGACTCACTTCAGGAGGCAAAATTTGTTTATGTATCCTTAGGTGAGTAATTATAATAGATAATTGACTCAAAGTAGATTGTCTCTGTTCTACTTTTTGTCATACTTGGGATATGAAAAATAACAAGGTGGAAAACTCTGTAATTCCTTTATTTTCTTTACTTGTTTGTATACAGAATAAGGTGTGTGTAAAGATTTACCAGTAACATAATAGAACTTTTTTTTGAAAGAACCAAGTCTTTTAAAGATTAGGTGTTGTGTATTGATTACTGGCAATGAACTGTTAACATATGGGTTATAATATGAATAAGTAAAATAAAAATTCTGTTAAGTTAATATATGCTGTTTTGTATCACTGAACCACAAATTGGGATTTTTGCAAATGAATTCCTATTTTAAGGCAAAGACTGAAAGCTGGTGATTGGGAAAGAAGTTAAGAGGGTTTTCTTTGGCCACTGGGTGTTTTTAAATGTTTGAAAGATGTTAACCTTTTAAATTTTAGGTAAATTTGTATAAAATTTATATTTCTAATTCCTTTTGAGAAATGAGGATATCTGCTAATTTTTAATAGGCTCTGTACTACACAGTGGCAGCAACAAGCTGTCGTGATGATGCTGTCGCTGCAGTCACCCGCCCTTCTCACTAGCTCATCTGATTGCATTCACTAGTAGGCTGGGGAGTGTGTCTCCTGCCTGAGGATCTTGGATCTGAGTTGTTGGCAGTTGAAAATGAAGGGTGTAAAGTTAGGGTGCCTATAAGGAGTCATAGTGAATAAAATATCCAGATGTAGCCTGTAAAGACAGAATCCTTCACTATATAATACAGATATTGGTAATCCGAGATTCTGTAGAAATTACTATAGCAAAGGAATACATTTATGAATTAACATATTATAAAAAATCCTTTCTGCAATATTGGTCCTTCCATTCACTTACTATTGAGTTTTGTTTGTCTACTACGAGGTCTTAATTGACTCAGAACAAGCTAGGAATGGTGGCATATGCCTGTAATAATACTATTTGGGAGCCTGAGACAGGAGGATTGCAAATTTGAGGCTTGCCTGGACTTTATAGTAAAACCCAGACTCAGTAAAATCGCTCAGAACAAATGTTGGAACTGGGTTAATTTTTTCTCTATTTTAACCGAAATTGATAATGTGCCTCTGTTCTTTCTTAAGGCATAACTTTTTATTTTTTGTAAAAATTATATTTGAAACTTTTGCTTTATCCAGAAGAACCTTAGGTCAAAATCATAGGTTGAACTTTTTAACTGGAACTGGTTGCTTAGGTAGTTGGGCTGGAGTGGGATGTGTAAGGTATGAATGGATAGACCCTTTATATTACTGTGCTTCATGCTGAAAGTTTCCAAGCTACAGATTAAAAGAGAGCAGATATATTCACGCACTCTAGTCCAGATAGAGTCGCCCTGGGAAGACTTTCTTATTTTTTCTATTAATTTTTGAAAAATTTCATTAAAAAATTCAAATTTGCAGAAGAGTTTTAGTAGTGCAAGGACCTCCTGTGTACGCATCATTCAGATCACCAGCAGTTTAAGGCATTTCTCTCTCTTCCCGTCTTTATCTCAGTGTTCCCCTCATTACTTTTGGTGACCAAGTTGAGAGTAAATTATAGAGATTTGCCTATATTTGAATCTGCAGAATAGTTTACCTAATTGCCATCAAACTGAAGTTTTGATATTTATAATTAAAAAGACAGAACCTTTCTCTTTGTTTTTGACCATTAAAATGCATTGAGTGCATTGAACCCGTTAATATGTTTCAGTACTCTTGAGTTAGAAATAGTTTTATTTAAAAATTTGTTTATATTATGTTAATATAAGAAATCAAAAGTAAACATATGTCAGTGAAGATATCTTTCATAGTGAGCATTATTGGTTATTTTATTTTCTATTAAACATACTCCTTTATATTGACTCATTGTAGTGGTTTCATAGTGATTCCTGGTGGGTAAGAACAAGGAAGAGTCAATGTTTGTGAAAGCATTCTGGGAAAAACTCTTAAACTGAACTTACTCTTTCCCTAGAAGATTAGTAAAGCTATTACACTTTAAGATTTAATGGTCTGTCTCAGTCTTTGTCCTGAAAGTCAGTATACTAAGTTGTTCTTCGAGAATAGCTAATTTAGAGGATAGCTAGTCAATTAGATAACTATTTAGTTTTAATAATAAGGAAAGTTATGGATTTTAACAACTTAATGAGAATGTTGCTGTGGATAAGTGAACATTTATATGTAAGCTATACTCACAGTTATCTCAGAATATCATTTTGGGTGCTAGAGTGAGAGGAGTAATGGTGGTTTGGTACAGTTTGTCCACTCTGATTAGTGGTCCCCTACCACTGTTTAAAATTGTTGAAAAGAGTGATAAGCCTTTAAAATACTAGAAAAGGTACTGTTGACATTTTTCAAAGTACTGTGCTGGTGAGAACCTTTATGTATCTGACATGAAATCCCCAAACCTGGGAGACTAGTGCACTTCACCATGTTATGATGTAGAATTTTTGTTTGGTAAGTGATCCAAAGAAAATTGTTAATCAATACAAGTAATAAACTGGCAGAAATAAATTAACAACTACCATAGGAGGGGCTCAATAGCGAGTTATAGTATCTATAAATTAATAGAAAATTGACCAAACTTCAGGTAGCTTACAGAAAAAGTGCAAATAATGTGCACATTTGTCAGTGATGCTCAGTCTTACTAGGGTAGAAGAAATGAGCACATTAAGACTGGCAGAATTGCCCAGCGTGGTGCAGATACCTCTGATCCCAGTATGTAGAAAGTAGAGGCAGGGGAATTAATAGTTTGAGACTAGCTTGGGTTAAATAGTGAGACCCTGTCAGATCTCCATTCACACAAAGCACAATTTAAATATTTTTAATAAGTCTGAGAAGACATGAATACCACATACTCTTTGTAAGATTATCAAGCGGCATACCCCTTTGAAGGGAAATTTTGAAATATCAAAATTTTGAACTCTCCTATTTCTTGTCTCAGTAATTTTAGCTCTAGGAATTTTTCTGAGTCTGTTTAGAAATGTATGAACACAGTTTTGTGATAACATGGTCTAAAGAAGCACAAAATATATTAGCTTGATTGAGTCATTCCACAGAGCCTTCTGTTGCATTCAGTTATTATGCATACCTTTATGTAGCAACTCAAAAAGAATAAAACATGGATTTAAACATTTGGTGTCAATATTCATAATATTCCTTAATATGCACCATCTACCTTCTCTGACAACTCTTTCCTCCTAGACCAGAGTTTTAAGGGCACAGGGGCTCCCACATGTTTTCAGTGTCTACTTGGTTCCTGGTCTCTAATGAACTTTGAATAGGTGCTTGTTGAACAAATGAATGAATAGATTGATAAAAGGACTATTCCTTATATATCCTAACTTGAAAGAACTGTTTAGGATATGTTTAGGATATGATTAAAAGTTTCAAAGTTTGGGGCTGCAGAGACGGCTCAGCGGTTAAGAATACTGGCTGTTCTTGCAGAAGACCCAGGTTTGAATCCCAGCACCCACGTAACAGCTAACAACTGTCCATAACTCCAGCCCCAGGGGATCCAACAGCCTCTTCTATTATTCGTGAGGATTGCATGACACAGGTGCACTTACCTACATGCAGGCAATACATGCATACACATAAAATAAAAATAATAAATTTTTAAAAAGTTTCAAAGTGATATTTACAGTAATGCAAGTTTTTGTTAAGAACAGGGTGTATTTACAATAAATACTTGTGTATTTTAAGAAATAATGAATGCATAAAACATTAATATATGCATTATATATTTATTAAAATGTCTAGATGGGTATGCCCTCAATTTTTTGTACTTATTCACCATTTCTACACTTTTTGCAATGAGAAACAATAGTTTCATATAGCATTTTACTCATGTAAAACTCTAAGATGTCATTAATATATAGATGATACATTGTATTTAACCATTATATTAAAAACTTGTAGAAATTTATCTAGATTATATTTGTCAAGTAACTATACAGTGTGTTTGTGGGATGGGAAGTGTGTATCACTGTGAGCATTCCCAAGCAGTCAGCTGATGGCAGTGTTGCAGAATTCACAGAAAGAACACAGCTTTGTTTTGTACCATTGAAATTTAGGATCAGGAGGGGAAATAGTGATCTTTGAAAGAAGCAAAAATTGCTGATGGGGTGATTATGACAGCAGAGAGACAGATATTTATTATTTTTGCCTAATTTCCTTGCAAAATATGATGGAAATGTTTTATTCTTGGAGAAATGCATCATGTCTATAAAAATTATTCCACATCCCCTTGCAACAGTATTCACTGAATTGTACTATGACCTCAGAATGTATTAGAATACAATTTGTGATAATACAAATTTACATGTATATGATGTGTAATATACTAAGAATATATAATATATAATGTATATTATATATTCATTATATATGTGTGTATAAAACCAATAATAAATAGGACTGGACTGGAGAGATGGCTCAGTGGTTAAGAGCACTGGCTGCTTACGCAGAGGAACTGGGTTCAATTCCCAGCACTCATACAGTGGCTAACAACTGTCTGTAATTTCAATTCCAGGGGATCTGATGTCCTCTTCTGACCTCCTGGGCATTGTATGGCACTAGTGTACTACTTGCGCATAAGCAGACAGTACACTCATACACATAAAATAAGAGTAATAAATAAAATATTTTGAAAACCTCTAAGAAGGGAGGTAGAACTATCTCCTGAGCTTCTCAGCATTGTTGGGAGCATTCTGATCTTTTATATAGAGGTCAATTCATAGCAGGTGTCCTACCTCAGTTCCATATGAAGATCAGCTTCTCTAGAGCATTTACTAGAGGCTGAGGAAAGCCTTAAGTAATGTTTGCAATCAGGTTTATGGCAATACATTTGACTTAGAATTCTTGTAATTAACAGAGGTAAAATTTATTGAAAAACAGGACAAAATGCTTTTCTAAGGAAGCCACAGAGTATCCAGATAAGTTTACAAAAGAAAATAAAATCAGGTGATATTTAT